GACCCAGCAGCTGGTGCGTCAAGGTGCCCGCCGTACCATTGGCAACGGCGTTAGCACACAAGTATGGGTTGATAATTGGATACCGAACTCCCCTACCACGGTCGGAGTATAGCAACACGAGAACGCCTCCACCGTTACTAAACGTATCGGACGTAATATGCGGTACCTCTCAAACGTAGAATATCCAGACTCTTCAAGCACATATACATCCGCAGGATATCCCTAAGGTTTTAAGTGTATGGTTGTCCGCCCGTATTCTGGAGGATGGTTTTTGCTGGCAGGCCACCACCTCAGGTGTGTATACTGTTAAGTCGGGTTACGAACTAGCTCGGCTACATAAGAACGCAGAAACTCATTTTAGCCTCCAACTACCATCATACGTGTTATACCCCTGCTAAAACCTAGGCCGTAATAGACGGACCAACTCCTTCAAGTATGCAGCCTTAGTGAGACTCGACTTGAAAGGGACTAAGGAAATCCTAAAAGGAGTTTTGATCTAAGCAAATCCAAATTCCATCAGGAAAATGATCGGGATGGAAAATAGATGGTGGGTTGAGTTTGTCTATGCTGCGGGTAAAGGACGTATGGTTGATCGAGGTGGGACACCGCGGGACGTATGCGGGTAAGTCGGTGGAGCCAAACGGCTTCCCATCGCTCCACGTCGTGGGTTGGTAGGACAAGGGGTTGTTGTTGTTCCACGTCCTAGGTCGGTCGGGCGAGTGGGTTATAGCGCACCATGTCGCCAGGATTAACGTCGCGTTTTGGATGGTGCGACGTGGCCCTCCGCGAGCCATTCCTTGCCCCTGACTGCCCCTATAAATTGGACCCCATACCCTTAGAATTAAGCATTCAAAATTCCTTTACCTTAGTACGTATACTTGTCTAAAATGGGTCCTAGTTTTCTTCGAGCATAGGCGGATCAGTCCGAGCAATCCTAAGTCTCAGGTTCGATCAAGTCCAGGCAGAAGGATCATATTTCGTGGAACCTTTTCCTAAGGAAAACCTCTGTTAAACTGTGAGTCTCGGTACAATGCGTTATGTTTATTCTAGAATAGTCTGAAATATCGTTCTATAGTATAGTCATGAGGTTCTCATCTTCGTTTCCCAAGTATGATTATATGTTGAACTTGGTTGTCGAATATTAGCGCTATACTTGTGTTGGTATCTGCCTACGTGAATGGTAGACACTTGGGTGGTAAGTACTGTGTGATTGGTTATGCATGTCTCCGATTAGAGTCATGCATGGTAATAACCTGTTAAACGCGGTCCTAAGTTTTCCGAAGAAATCGTGCCGAGGTCACGCCGTGGTAGTATGTGGGTCGCACCCATAGGCCGTGATACACGACGGGGCTCAGTCGTGTATTGATTTCATGTGGGTGTTCCGCAGAACTCAAGATGTTGGAAGACTATGTGTCTTACATTCCATTAATGCCGGAACATAGATTCACAAGGCCTTAAATGAAGAGGATTCATGCATGCAT